GGCCATGGTTAATGGCCTAAGAAAGGGTGAGCCACAGCAGGAAGATGATCCGTCTGGATGTGGAGGTGACACCAACATGTCAAATAGAAAACCAGTGGGAAGTGCAGCGCTGTGGGCGGGGCTGTGAAAGGTGCTGAGCGAGAGACGAGCGTTGCAGCTAATACTGTGGGAGGGAAGCCGTCAGTTACGGACACCTTCACGGACACGCGATTGCACCGTCTCCATCCCCCGGTCGACGTCAAAAGTGTTCACCCTATTCAAGCACCTTAGTCTTATTCGTGGGATGTTTCATATGCACACATACGACCCCATACAACCTCTCCGCGCATAGTCCCTTACACTTTGCCTCTCTCTCTCTTCCCCCTCCCTCCTCCTCCTCCTCCTCTTTCTCCTCCTCCTCCTCCTCCTCCTCCTCCTCCTCCTCCTCCTCATCATCATCATCATCATCATCATCATTATCATCGCCATCATGGTTCCCCCTTTCCCTCTCCCCTCCCCCGTTCCCTTCGTTCTTTACCACCACTCATTTATCCTCTCGTCTATTGTTGCCATCATTATTATCCTCGTTTCGGTCACCCATACAAATTAAATTTAATTCATTTTTTATTAAGCAAATGAATACTTCAGTCGGACAAATGAACACGAACCCAGTACTACAGGTGGCCTCATACTAAACCCCACAGAGCTAGTTATTATGGTGTCCTAACTTAAACAGTAACTCTAACACCAACCTTAGCCCTCCTAGCCCTAGCCCCAACACTGACATGCGCAACCCTAACGTATAATCTTATCTGAAATTTAAAGCAAGCCTACCTGTAATACGGGCGATCCATATTTCCGTGTCTGACCGGCTACTCCTAAATATGGGTCTATTTCGAAATGGTCAAACAGCTTTCAATCGCTTATATTATAGGTGCAACTGGCATCGTCGATGCATACGGACTTCCTGACAGAAAAACATACGTACTGGTTGAATTTACAGTGGTCATGAGCCCATTACGACTGATTTTGAATTTAATCGTGTCTCCAGCCCCTGGTCGGCGTCAAAATTGTTCGCTGTATTCGGACACCTCAGTCCAATTCATGGGACGTTACACCTACACACAGCTCTCCCTTTATCTTTCCCTTTCCTCCTAGAGATCGTCCCTCCAAAATTCATTCCTATCCTCCTGCTCCTGCTCCTCCAGCTCCTCCTCCTCCTCCTCCTCCTCCTCCTCCTCCTCCTCCTCCGCCTCTTCCTCCTCCTCCTCCTCCATCTCCCCCGCTGTCCTCTCCGCTCTTCCCCTATTGCGTCCATTGTTACTAGCAATATTATCGTCGATTCGGCCAACCGCACAGATGAAGAGTTGAATTTTAATTAAACGAATTGTTTCTCCGGTCACACAGGGAAAAATGGACCCCCGTACTGCAGGTTATCTCGTATTAAATTGCACAACGTTAATTATTGTCGTGTTCTAACTCACTCAATAGCTCTAACAGTAAACCTGACCTTCCATCCTTAACCCTAACACTAACATCTACAACCTTGGACCTAGCGTTAACACTCGTAACTCGAATTCCAGCCCCAACGCTAACAGTAGCCCTAGGGTTCATTCAGTCTGGAGTTCAAAGTAAGCCCACCTGTAATACAGGTGACCCAGATTTGCGTGTCCAACCGGCTACCCCTCGATTCGAGTTCATTTCAAAGTGATCAAACAGCTATAGGCCCTGTTTGCTATCTGTGATGTTATAGATACAACTGGAATCTTGGAAGCATACGAACTTCTTGACAGAATAATATGCATGATGGTCGAAGTTGTGGTGGCTGTAAGTCCATTATGACTGGTTACGAATTTCCCAGTGTCTTTGGAGCTAGCAGGGACCATAAAAATCGTGAGTCTACATTTTTGGACTAAGACGCTCTCCTGTACACTGGTAGGGATTGTGCTAGTCGAATACTCTCAAATGTTAACTCCTGATGTTTTTACAGGTTTTCAAACAGTCAAGGTGAGGTTCTAGCTTCGTTGACAAGTAAAGGGACGTTGGTCCTCTTAACTGGCATGTGGATGCTGTATGGGCGGCAGAGAGGGAGAGAGTGGTGTTTTTACGACAGCGGTCAGGCGTTTTAGTAGCTGTTGTTGCTAAGGCGGTGGGAAGTAAGAGTTTGGTTCCCAAAACGGGCTGCGCCGCCCATGCGCCGGGCCAAAAGGGGTTGGGCTGTCTCACTGCACGTGTTTATCAGGCTGCACAGAGTTCATCTGCGTCCGTAAATACTGTCGTACATTCGGGTGGCACGCCTTAGGTGTAGGTTTAAAACCGCCTCAGTTACTGTCCCCATTCACACCACCAGCCGGCTGGCAGGTTCGGACAGTTGGTCGGCTCATGGGAGAGGGAAGAATGAGCGCGACTGACACTGCGGAACACATCGCCCGGCACGTCCCCCGATTCTGACGAGTTGGGATTTATCACAACGCGCTAAGAGTCGTGGCTAGGAAGGTTGCCGACTGAAGGGATAACTCGGTCTTACTCAGGATTGGGATTCAGGCTGCAATGGCCTCCTCTCACTATGGTCCCTGTGGCCTTGTCACTCATGTGTGACTCGAGCCGCCCTCACGATGGCCTGACACATGTAACTGGGACCAGGCCGGTGCGTGGCACGCGTAGAGTTGATTGGTTTTGTTTGCCGCTGCGACCGAATTCACCTCGGGTTGTCTGGTATTGCCCTACCGTCGGAGGCAGGTGGTTGGGTGGGTGGGGGGAGAGGGAGAACGCGCGGCGAGCGCTGTATAAGTCACCGGTGTTGTGCCAAACCCCTAGGGCGAACGGCAGCCAAACTGACGAAGCGACAAATACCGAAAGTGACCTGAGATATTTGTGACGCAGACCCTCGCAGCACGACGCTCCATTAGCAAGCCCATGCCAAGACAGCTGGTCCAGTCGGAATGTTTACCTGTGAGCGTCCCATGTGGGATGACCCCCCTCGCTCTCCTAGCGGAACCAGGCTTCATGTACGCATTATTAATGGTAGTAATTTTAGTGTTTATTTCCCAGAGGGCACTATTATTGTAAAGTTAACGCTGATTTAAATGCTGAACCACGGACAATTATATATGAACGGCCAACTGCACAATGGAATTTTGGATTTGTATTATCTAAAGTAGGAAAGGACAACGGTAGGGTGAGGGACCCCCTTAACCATCGGGGGACTGTGGATCCTGTCATACGGGAATGGTGGTAATGTGGGTTTTACGGGTGGGTCAGCAGGCCAGACAGTAAATTGACGAAATGCAAGAAGACGCGGAAATTGGTTAGATTTCTGCCGAAAATCATTTCGTAGCCTTTCGCATGGCAACGAAAATGAGCGCGTTGATTAAAAAAAAATAAACGAGAAGCAAATTTCAAAAAATAACAGAGTTTGAGTAATGGTTTGAGTTCGTGGGAAGTAATTGTTGTTGGCAATATATTATTTGCAACGGTCTGCAAATAGATGCCATGATAAAGCCCCATATGTCTTGGCCCACAACCCACCAAGAGTTTATTGGGATCCTTTACTCTACCGTTGCCTAGGGAAGTTTTGACATTCGCCAACGATTCCTCCAAACTTACAGTTTTGAAAAAACGGCAAGTTCTGAACGAAGCAGAGAGAAAAATTGAATAAAACGCGCGGGAGTATTCAGGTAGTCCGCACTTTCAAGTGAAATGTCCAGGGCGAAGAACTGCATCGAGAAGGGATATGAACGAATAGGACAGCGTGAAGCTATACAGGCAGGTCAGCAGGTTGGAACGAAGCTTCATTACAGTGCGCCGGGGATGCTAGGTTGCGGCAGATCTGGAGCGAGCCCTTCAACGGGAGGCGAGACCTAGACACCCCTAGGGCAGGACGGAATCCAGATAAGGAAGGCCCTATGCAAACCGGAGACGGTTGTGCATCACGAAACCCCTGTTATTTGGCAGATTGATAGGTTAGGGGTGGACATCATTTTCTCCAGAGGTCACGATATCTAGACTGAAAAAATCGGCATTTCTGAGCAGAAATCGTGGCGAACGTAGACAGACACGGAATAAAAATCCGAGTGGACGAGGCAGTTTGGAGATGATCTCCATTATTCCTGAGGTCGTTTCTCGAAGTCATGCTGCTAAGATATTGCAGCAGTCTCTTATAAAAGCAGACAAACCGTCTGCAGGTTAACCAAGAGAGAGCATTTAGGGGTGAAGAAGGTAGGAGAAGACGGAATAATCAGGGAGGAATTACGAACGTTGTACGGTTGACTAGCTAGGGTGAAGGCCGAGATTCGAGGAAGGTTAACTTCAAGCTTCCATAAAAATTTTGGTTATTTAGGCGGTATTCGTTCCAGTAGGAGAAGCTGTCCGTCCCCATTTATCGAAGCGGTCGCCACTGTCTGGCAACTGCACTCGGTACGGTTTCATGGAGCCAGAAATAGAAAATAAGTACAAGGTCAGATTTGATAGACGTGGTCAACTTCTGCATTTTATGATTTGTTGCTACCCTCAAAGCGTCAAACTAAACTACCCCTCTGATGACCATATTGATAACTACAACGCTAGGCTGTTTTTTGCAAGGTGAGCCAACAGTCGGCTGACCAATAAACTTCATACTTCTGCTGCACTAGTATTCGAGATAGCCAGTTATATCAGCCCTCCGTGATTACGATGTAGTACAAGATATCACGACACTGTTCGCGACATACAGTGAGTGACCGATCCCATGAAATGTTGGCTGAAATTCTGAAATACGTTTCCGACTAGGAAGGATTACGTAGGCGTAATTCTGATACTTATTATCTTGCGACATAATCCTATAATATTGCGCACTTGCCAGGACGTCGGCTTTGGAATGCATTTCTTTTTAATCTTCTGTAGAAACCGTACTCAGTAAAAAATGACTACTTATGTGGCGTGCATTTTTCCCACTGTATTTTGATGGTTTTGCAAATTTAAATATATGTTATGGAAACCACAAAAATATGCTTTCTTACGGTCGGTTGATAGAAAATCGCATCATTTTTATATTTTATACTCCGAGAAGGAGTATAATTGGGTTTTCAAAAAGTTTTCCAATCCCCGAATAGTTTGGAGCCCGATCTGTTGTGGCATTAGCGCTTTGTGATTTCAGTCTACAAGGTGCATGCGTTCTGTGTAAAGAAAATCACGTATTCTTCTATGCCTTTAAAAATATGTCATACAGAGTCCATAAAATCTTGAAATGGATGCCGACTAGGCCACACATTTCATGTGGAGCAATGGCAAACGGACAGGTACGATGATGTATGAATGGACATTGCACGGCCTCAAAAATTTCATAATTAGAAACTTTTTTGAGGGTCAACTACATTCCTTCCTTAAATATAAAATATAAAGTTGACGTGATTCTCTATCAAACGACCGAAAAAGGCCTATTTTCGTTCGTAGTTTCTATAAAATATATTTGAATTTGCAAGTCCATCGAAAACGGATGTGAAAAATGCATGCTACTTAAGTTAACATTTTTTGCGGAGTACGGTTTCTATGGGAGTTTGAAAAGTCGTGCATGCAAAAGCTGACATCCTGCTGAGTCCGAAATATTATAGGATTATGTTACAAGACAATCAGTAATACAATTGCGCCTACGTAATCCTCCCTAATCGAAAATGCATTTCAGAATTTCGGCCAATATGAGATTGGTCACTCACCGTAAGTTGGCTCATTCTTAACTTTTGATGGTTTTAGGGCAATAATGAGACTTATTAAACTTTACTATGCTTTTGAATGACTCCATTTCACGTACCCACTGCGCTTGATTAGCTGCAGGGGTGGCGAGGGGGCAGCGAATATCGGTCGGGGTGGAGATGGAGGGTGGGGGACAGCGCATGTGACTAACCTTGGCGGCTGCAGATTTCTTGACTGATCTCCATCCCTGATAATTAACACTTGCAGTGTGATGTGACACCATCCTCTTTGGCTCTGAGATGAACCTGCTAATTGACGGTTATAACCGGTGCGAGAAGCCGCGGGGGTTATCGGTGAAATATCCTGAAGCCTTGCCAAACCGGTGAAAATATTGTGAATGCATCAGCCAGTGGCTTTAGTGAAATCATTCTCCTCCCCCCTCCCCCACCCTGCGTATGCAAACCGCCGGAGATAAGGGGGAGGTGGAGATTGCTCACTTCTGACAACGGAGACCCCCACAGAAGAGCGGCTCGAGTTCAAAGGTAGAAAAGGCCCCTCTATTAGAAAGGTCAGTTGCGCCCGCCGCCTCAAAAAGTAGCGCTCTAAACAGCCTATACGGACGATGGTTTTAAACCGCATAATTTCCCCACTGCTGTATCATCCTTTGATATGTTGGTGATACCTGCCGGGTAATCTTTCCTGGTCTCTTCTCGCCGAATCACGTTTTTAAAGGTAAAACAGTAGTGTATTAGACTCGACAGAGGTGTTAGTAGCTTCATCGTACGAAAGGGTTCTGACATTTTGTGGCAGGCACCGTAAAGAGACACGGTCTGCAACAACATCCGGCGCTACCAAATAAACGGCAAATTTAAGTAGGTTTCGGACGCAACACCAGACAGTGTACATATTTTTGCGCAAAAATTCTCTGTCCCATTCTTCCTCCCCCTCCCCATTGGCTGATGAATGGCAAGACTCGGATTAGATGTTGTTTTTGTGGGAGTGGAAAGGCGGTAGATTTGATTCGACTTTCACTTCCACATCACCTTTACCAACCAATGCGCTGGCGTTCCATCGATTCATGCACTTTTCTTTCTGCCTCTTACTGCGCTCCCCAAATATCTGGGTTTGCTAAGAAAAACGCCAGGTCATGTGTGGCTATGTAGCAGTACCTGAGGTAAACAAAGCCCAACCACCTGTAATACGGGACACCTAACACTAACCGCAGACCTAACCCTTAACGGGAGCCCTAAACCCTAACCTTGAAACATCCAACGCGAAAGTTAGAAGGAGACGGCAAGTCGAAAGTCGAGAAGGACCACCGGCATTGAGCCGAAAAAGGTAGACACGATGGTATGGGGCGCTCACCGATCGTTCTTACGGAACTCACTCGTTCCGTTGTGCCTTACGGGTTCCCTCTCGAGTCCAACCAGTAGCCGCACAGCGGCGCATGATATAGGCAGGATGTTACTTCTGACAAAGAAAAAGGAGACTGGAATGGCCATTTCTGGCTTATTAGTCGTCGTCAGCCAGTCATACTCAACCCCAACGTGTGGAACAACCGGGGCTCGAACTCGTGACCTGTTGGTTAGAGGTCCACGCCTCTAACCACTGGGCCACGAGCCCGTTGCCCTGTCGGTTTCGATTGAGAATATACAAAGGTAGGGGCGCACACCGATCGTTCTTACGGAACTCACTCGTTCCGTAGTGCCTTACGGGATCTCACTCGAGCCCAAACAGCAGCCGCACAGCGGCGCATGATATAGGCAGTATGTTACTACCGACAAAGACAAGGGAGACTGGAAAGGCCATTTCTGGCTTATTAGCCGTCGTCAGGTAGACGCGGCAACAAAGAAACAAGGCCACCAACAGAACACACACCGCAACGCCCAGCAACACCATGCCAACGTAATTACATTAACTCAAAATAATTAAGTAGGCCGACAGTATTGTGTCCATCAGGTGCGGCTACGTAATCAGTTCTTACCAAACGTCATATCTGTAAACATAGGCGTAAGATAAAATCGACCTCACTTCCTCCCCCCCCGCATGAGTGGCCTTGTAATGATGTCAAGCGTCCCACTTGACCTGGCATGGAAGCCCCCGTCTGCGTGTGTCACGCGCACGCACGGCAGTGGCTAGGGGCTCACACAGATTTTCCCATCCTATGACCCAGTGTTAGACCCTCCCTGACTCCTCACAGCAGCTGCCATTCTGGGGCCGGGGAAGGGGTAGTTATAAACGAGTTCAACAGAAAGCTCTGATGGGCATCCAGCCAGGCACATTGTCGATGGGGATGTACATAGGCAGCGGGAGGAAAAAAACAAGGAGTCCAGCGGTGACCTTCATACCTCGTTTAAGGAAAGCCCAGTCAGTGAGTCGTTTGCACCGTATAAACATGGTAAATCTAAAACATCTTACTGCTACAAGTTCTCGGAGTACAGACGACGGTGTAAAAATGGGGGGGGGGAGGGGGGGGGGTGAAAAAATCATGCAGACTCCTAAACTTTGACAGCGATATGAAGCTATGTGCAGAAGCCATGTGATGCCCGATGTACTCACGACGGATTTATGCAGAATGGTTATCCCACACCTTTCATGATCTGATGCCTTTGTGTCCGCTCCCAAGGAATCCTACCGAAAAGACTCGAGGGTTTAACACGTCACGCGGTCGACTATCCGCAAGTCCACTGGTTTTTCGGGGCAGAACGTTCTTCTGTGGATGATGGCTGAAGAATAATCGGGGGCATAGCAACAACAGCGGCAGCGCCATAAGTCTGTGGAGCGTAGAGGTCTGGAGTACTGAGTAGGCTGTTTCTCTGCAACCGATTTATGCGAAATGCCCAGTCGAAAGCCTTTAGAAACACAAATCTTTGCGCTCGCTCCCTGGAAGACCAAAACGGCCACACGACCGACGAAAATGACATACTCTGCCGCTCATCAAGGATGTCTGAGAAGCGACCGGACCCACTGCTGAGGGACCAGCTGCTGGAATTGCACGCTGAACCAAAGCCACCATGGTCAGAAAAGTCAAAGACAGATTCATTCTCAAGGAACGGTCTGGAACAGTTTATCGCATCCAGGGCCTGGACTGCCCTTGTAACTGTGTGGGTCAGACTAAAAGCATGCTCAGATCGCGCATACACGAGCATAAGCGGCCCGTGTTGGGGTGGCTCACTGTCGCAAGCGGCTGCCCACTCCTACGCAAAGAGTCATGAGCTTAAATTCGCAGCCGTCAAAATAATCTCCCACGTCGGAAGCAAGACAAGTCGGGAACTGCTTGTAGTCTGCACCTAGGGCGAAAACTCAACCAAGCGATTTATCGATTTGGCTGCGGCAGCTCTTGACATGCGTCACTGATCATTGATTGGCTAATACCCCATATAACTGTCACTTGCTCTACTGCTGCTGCTACTATCTCTGACGATGGACTCCTGAACAAGTTCGAGAGTTCAGACTAACAAACAAATTCATCCGGTGCTCGACTAATCGTCCTATTTACTTTGATATATCCATAGAAATCGAACATACGCCTTCAATTTCAAAAGATCCAAAGCACTAGGGGAGACAACCTCGGACAAGCCGTGCAGGTATCTGTTGGCGACCAGATCATGCCGTCATCATCAACACATGCATACCTTACGTCACGAGCGTTCGTGGGACGCGTGACCAAATGGTGGTGTAATCAGAGTCTGGCAGTCCCACAGATCTGCAGCTGCCATGGAATCAAAGAAAGCTTTTAAGAAGGGCCGAGAGTCTGGCGTCATCTGCTCTGTCCAATATACTAGCAGTTTTATTGGAAAAAGCAAATTGGCTAAAAGCGAGGAGAACGCGGATCGTGCACCAAGGAACAAAACTTAATTGAACACGCGGTTACCAACTGTCGTTAATAACCATCCGCGCCGGCGAGACGCGTCCGACAGGATCGTGGGACAAGCCGACGAGAGATCGATCGACCTATTTGCCATTAATAGACGAGAAAAGACGAGTTCCGTGACATAGTTGCGAAGAGGGAGGAAGGATCGCTGGAACAGAAGCTTTATTAGCCATGTAGCGGCCTAGCACTACATCCTATAAATTCTGCAACACGTGGCCAATTTACCACCCCTATGTGACTCTGTCTCTGATGATGGATTCGGGTGAGAATCCGAAACGTCAAGCCACTAGGAAACTACGATAAGCTGGGAGATCTGGTACACTTTTCTGGGAATCCATCAGACGGTCGTGTGGCTTGGGGCTTCATCTACGCAACATAGTTTTGAAGTTCACCCTTCCCTCTTCCTCGGTCTGGGGCTTAAAACAACTGGCTGAAGACTGTACACAGGCAAAAACGACTGGTTTATTCTCTATGTCCTTTTAAGTGCACGCCCAATACTTTAGGTTATTTAACTGATTTCCAGTAGACGATATTCTGAAATGTCGGGCAAGTCAAAAAAGAGTGTGTGCTAACTCTCCGGACAGTATTACTTGCTTTCTATGGTCACGGATGAGTCACTTCTACCGAGCAGATAGTCTGAACTTGCCTGCGAAGTAATTAATCAAATGAAAACAAAAGGTTCAGGATTAATTTTTGAGATATCGTGTGAGTCTGTTGCGACAGGCTAATGGCCTGCCTGGCACACCAAATGACAGTACAACCGTCTTGAGTGACGAAAGCCACCCCGTGCCCCAAAGTGCGGGCGCAGCACTGGTGACTTGTGCGTGAGGCGGACTTGCATAACATCTACCACACTCTCTAATTACTCACCCATCAGGCTCACATTACAAGACAATATCAAGACGGCGGAGGTGGGATCGCGCTCAGTGACTAGCAAATCTAAACAGTCGATCCACGCGGGTCAAGCACGACTAGGTTTTTCACAGAAACAAGAGGCGGTCGGAGTCTCACATCTGTCGTAATGCCGTAGAGACCATATTCAGATGAAGCTATTGAGCCTGGTTCTCAGTCCCTTATCTAGTCGACAGTTCGATCGTCGTGATCGGTGATGTCTACTGTATGCCCCACAACAGGGCGAGAGCAGGTACGGTGAACTGTGCGTGAATTAGCCTATAATGACAGTAGAGTTGCGTTGTATCTAACGCACTCTCTCCTCTTCCTTTTCCACCTGGATTCGGTGTCATGACCAAGTCAATAAGACCGGAGGCAGGGGGGATCCATGTGTTTGGCACGGGCAAGCCCGCGTCTAGGCGCACTACCACACATCCTGGTCCACAACAACCACTCAACTGGGATCTCAGACAACAAAATGGAGGCAGCAAGGATCCCGGTTGACGTGGCGTGAGCCGACAAATAGGCGTGCCATCGCATCCCGAATTTTGGCATTTTTGATGGGTGCCTACTCCCGATAACGTCTCCCGAATTCCGATCTAGTCCCCCTGTTAATCCAGCCCATCTACCGCCTTGACCGTATCAGGGACAAATCACCCTACATACACACACACACAGTACCAGCAACGAGGACCGAGTTATTCGCTCGGCTGACAACCGTCCAAGCCACAACTTAAGCGCATTCTGATGATTTCACAGAGCGTCAGGTTTATCATATCTAGGAATGCGTCTCTCATCTCACATCATAACACCACTAGCAACACTGAAGCGCACACTCGTACTGGTCACTATCAAATATTATTACAGAAACCGGCAATAACTCAGTGAAAGGAAAGGCGCCGACTGAATGTTGCCTAGTTGAGCTAATCCTGCGCTAGGGCAATTGATGGCAGTTTGACCGTCAGTTTCGACTATGTCCATTGTGTGCCGCACAGCCGGGTGAGAGAAGGGACGGTGATTTGTGCGTGAATTAGTTTAGAGTCATAATTGACCTGCGCAGCATCTAACGCATCCCCTACTCCTGCCCACCTGAGGCCGATGTACAGTGATTGACCGATCTCATGAAATGTTGGCTGAAATTCTGAAATGCGTTTTCTATTAGGAAGGGTTACTTGGTCGCGGTTGTAATACTGATTATCATAAGTCACACTCTTATAGCATTTTGGACTCGGCAGGATGTCGGCTTTGGAATGCACTTCTTTTCAATCTCCTGTAGAAAGCGTGATTGGCAAAAAATGACTTCTTAAGTAGCATACATTTTTTTCATTGATTTTCGATGGTCTTGCAGATTCAAATATATTTTTGTTATGGAGAGTGTGGCCTATGCACCGATTGCCCGGGACTGTTAGCCTTGTCGTACGCAACGCTTTGGAGGTGCTGCGGTCTTCTCCCGATCATACCGCAATGGAGTCTGACACAGTCCCAGATATGGAAATGGAGGAGCAGTTGTACCGGTCACGTAAACAACAGAGACAAAAAGCTGTCACTTTACTGGAGGGCCTTTTGCGTGAGGCTAGTATTTTCACGCGTCTTTTTGAGATGGATCCCCTGCTCTGGGCTGAGGCCTGGGTGGAACTGGCCAAGACGGCTCTCTTTAGGGCCATTCACAATGATGCCACCATGGCCATTGACGACGGGCAGGATACCGATCAGCAGCAGCAGCAGCAGCAGCAGACTGCGGGAAGCAACTTGCCCCGGGTACTTTCTTCCGCCGTACTGACTCAGCGTTACGCCGATCAGGAAGCCCTGAACGTCACGATCAGTGGTCTCTTTGAGAACTTCGATCAGTTCCCCTTCCGGCTTAATTTTCCACCCTTCGAGATGGATGCACTCCCGGCTAATAGCTGGTTCCTTCCCGTTCTTAAGAACGCGAAGGTACTGCTGGAGGTGTTCTGCCCTCAGCTCAAGGATTTAGACGGTCAGCGCAGCGGTGGTAGCAGTTTCATGCATCACACCCTCGCATACCGACGTCGGGCTTACGCCCACTTTGTTAATGGCTTATATTCTCACTGCCTGTCAGCCTTTGAAACCAGCACTGTGGAAGGCGAGACGAATCAGCAGTTGCTGGCAAATTCGGGCCTAGTGGCCTGCCTGTTTTCTCACTGGCCCATACCTGTGGACCCTCCTCTGAATCCAGCCTGGGAGGTGGGTTGCAAACTGGTCTCGCCGCCGCCTCCCCCACCGCCGGTGGGCATGGTTCGCATGGCACTTCGACTACTCACCTCTCAGCAGACAGAAGTCGTTGCGGCTGTAGTGCACTTCCTTTCTGAATTCCTTCTCGTCTATTTTCTGCGCTTTCGACCCGACGACTACGTTCCTTTCAATGCTGCCGAACTCGCCCGCGCACACTGTCCCTTCCCGGGGGCTGATTTCAAAAATCCCCTGCGCTGGCCGGGTCTCAGGGATGACAATTTTGGGATCGTCTTTGATCCCACGCTGGACTGTCTCTCCAACGATCAAGTCTTCCGCCAATTTCACCACATCCCTCACAGTGTGGCTGGGTTCATGCAGATGTGCGTACGCGGTTACTCGCCCAGCTAGACCAGAAAGGCGATATGACAGTACAGGAACTGGCAGAGGAATGTGTTCGAATCACAAATATCAAACAAGATACCCGGCTTATTGGAAGCACAAACAGTCAGCCAGCTTACGTTTTCGACACAAAAACGAGACAAACACGACCGAATAGAGTTTCTCCACGGAGGCCAAAGACGGCTTGTTGGCTGTGCGGCGGTTGGCACTACGTGAATGAATGCCCCTACCGTAGTAGGAAGTGCTACAAATGTTCGCGGGTTGGTCATAAAGCTTCACATTGCAGAGCGGTGCACGCTAGCCCAAGAAAGAATTGCCATGTCGTTTTAGAAGACGATTCACAAGTACTCAATTGCGAACACAGAAAATACTTGACAGTGAACATTAACGAAAGGCCGACGACATTACAAGTAGACACAGCTTCGGATCTGACCATAATCAGTATGCGCACTTGGAAGGACATTGGTTCTCCAGAACTGAGACCATCAGATATCATAGCATGGGCGTCGAACGAGACGCGTATGGAATTTGAAGGCGTTTTTAAGGCGACTGTCAGTTTTCGAAACATGACTTGCCTCGCAGATGTCTATGTGTCGAAGAACCGTAACAATCTTCTCGGAAATAAGACGATCTCCAAACTGGGATTGTGGAACCGTCCCTTCGACGAAATTTGCAGCGCGGTGCACAACACTACTGAAGAGGTCCTGAAGAATAAGTATATGGAACGCATGGAGAAGGCAGCCGGCAGGTGCACGAAGACGAAGATAAGTTTGAAAGTGAAGCCGGAGAAAAAGCCCGTTTTCAAGCAGAGCCGACGTGTCCCGTTTGCGGTACAGTCGTCCGTAGAAGCTGAACTAGAAAGACTACAGGCAAAGGGCATAATATATCCTACCAATTATTCAGCTTGGGCTGCTCCAGTCGTGGCGGTAAAGAAACCCAACGGA